GTACCTGTTTTTGTAAACTATGTAGCAATATGTCCCTATATTGTAATTGCACTTCACCTGCCTATAACGATGTAAGTATATGGGTTTTATGCTTCTTAATGCAAAGTGGAATCAAATAATCACATTTTCACATTTAACCTTGTATGTATAGTACACATATCCAACTTTTTGGTGGATGAAAATGTATCTGCTATTTGCACAATTCTGTTGCAGATGTTGAGGGGTTTCCACCTGAAATGTAAGCATCTTTCAGAGCCTCATCATGATTTACAGGTAACTGCCAAAATAATGGAAAGACTTGAGTATATGAGGGATACAAATTGTATTGAAAACAGGTGCTTCCACTCAGGTGTGGTACCTGAGTTAATTAAGCAATTAACATCCCATGCCTAGAGTCATGTTTAAAATGCTGGGCCGGCCAATATTTTGGCTACCATGGCTATGCCCCTGCCCCCATAGGATAACAATGCCCCCATCCACAAGGCACTAGTGGTCACTGAATGGTTTGATGAGCATGAAAACAATGTAAACCATATGCCATGGCTGTCTCAGTCACCAGATCTCAACCCAATTGAACACTTTTGGGAGATTCTGGAGAGGCACGTGAGACAGCATTTTCCACCACCATCAACAAAACACCAAATTATGTAATTTCTCATGGAAGTATGGTGTCCCATCCCTCCAATAGAGTTCCAGAAACTTGTAGAATATATGCCAATGTGCATTGAATCTGTTCTGGCTTGTGGTGACTCAACACCCTATTAAGACACTTTATGTTGGTGTTTCCTTTATTTTTGGCAGTTACCTGTAGATTTGAAGGTTGACATCTTGATCTGTTACTTTTAGGCCTTTGGAGATTAACTACTCACACCTTGGTGAAATAGTGACAATGATGGGACGGTTGAAGGAAATATACCAGCCTGTATGATGGTTAAAGGAAATATACCAGCCTGTATGATGGTTAAAGGAAGTATACCAGCCTGTATGATGGTTAAAGGAAATATACCAGCCTGTATGATGGTTAAAGGAAGTATACCAGCCTGGATGATGGTTAAAGGAAATATACCAGCCTGTATGATGGTTAAAGGAAATATACCAGCCTGGATGATGGTTAAAGGAAATATACCAGCCTGTATGATGGTTAAAGGAAGTATACCAGCCTGTATGATGGTTAAAGGAAATATACCAGCCTGTATGATGGTTAAAGGAAATATACCAGCCTGTATGATGGTTAAATAAAATATACCAGCCTGTATGATGGTTAAAGGAAATATACCAGCCTGTATGATGGTTAAAGGAAGTATACCAGCCTGTATGATGGTTAAATAAAATATACCAGCCTGTATGATGGTTGAAGGAAATATACCAGCCTGTATGATGGTTAAATAAAATATACCAGCCTGTATGATGGTTAAAGAAACTATACCAGCCTGTATGATGGTTGAAGGAAATATCCCAGCCTGGATGATGGTTAAATAAAATATACCAGCCTGTATGATGGTTAAAGGAAATATACCAGCCTGTATGATTGTTAAAGGAAATATACCAGCCTGTATGATGGTTAAAGGAAATATACCAGCCTGTATGATGGTTAAAGGAAGTATACCAGCCTGTATGATGGTTGAAGGAAATATACCAGCCTGTATGATGGTTAAAGGAAATATACCAGCCTGTATGATGGTTAAAGGAAATATACCAGCCTGGATGATGGTTAAAGGAAATATACCAGCCTGTATGATGGTTAAAGGAAGTATACCAGCCTGTATGATGGTTGAAGGAAATATACCAGCCTGTATGATGGTTAAAGGAAATATACCAGCCTGTATGATGGTTAAAGGAAATATACCAGCCTGTATGATGGTTGAAGGAAATATACCAGCCTGTATGATGGTTAAAGGAAATATACCAGCCTGTATGATAGTTAAATAAAATATACCAGCCTGTATGATGGTTAAAGAAAATATACCAGCCTGTATGATGGTTGAAGGAAATATACCAGCCTGGATTATGGTTGAAGGAAGTATACCAGCCTGTATGATGGTTAAATAAAATATACCAGCCTGTATGATGGTTAAATAAAATATACCAGCCTGTATGATGGTTAAAGAAAATATACCAGCCTGTATGATGGTTGAAGGAAATATACCAGCCTGGATGATGGTTAAAGGAAGTATACCAGCCTGGATGATGGTTAAAGGAAGTATACCAGCCTGTATGATGGTTGAAGGAAATATACCAGCCTGTATGATGGTTAAAGGAAATATACCAGCCTGTATGATGGTTAAAGGAAGTATACCAGCCTGTATGATGGTTAAATAAAATATACCAGCCTGTATGATGGTTAAAGAAAATATACCAGCCTGTATGATGGTTGAAGAAAATATACCAGCCTGTATGATGGTTAAAGGAAATATACCAGCCTGTATGATGGTTAAAGGAAGTATACCAGCCTGTATGATGGTTGAAGGAAATATACCAGCCTGTATGATGGTTAAAGAAAATATACCAGCCTGTATGATGGTTGAAGGAAATATACCAGCCTGGATGATGGTTAAAGGAAGTATACCAGCCTGTATGATGGTTAAAGGAAGTATACCAGCCTGGATGATGGTTGAAGGAAATATACCAGCCTGTATGATGGTTAAAGGAAATATACCAGCCTGTATGATGGTTAAAGGAAATATACCAGCCTGGATGATGGTTAAAGGAAATATACCAGCCTGTATGATGGTTAAAGGAAATATATCAGCCTAAATGTTTTTATTTACACTCAAAACAGTAGGATAGTCATCTGACTATATGAACTGAAGGACTTCCCAGTTTACAAAATGAGGTCAAAAACACTAACGGAAGAATTTGAGCTCTGATATTAGTCTCTCGTCGTTGTTGACCACACACGACAATAGTTTACACAAATTATAATTCAGCAACTATCAATTCACCATAGACAAAGTCATTTTTAGAGAACTTTCCATGGACTGTATATTGCTGTGATTCAGAAACAGACCCCTGGCATCTTCATGCCACATACTCATACAGTCTGTGCTGTGGTCAAGTGTAGATACATATGTTGTTAAATGCAGTGGGAAATCTGATTACAATGTGGACACATTTGATATGAGACATTTTTTTCAAGCACACTAATAGAGGCTGGTATTTTTTAAGGCTGGGCTGATATGTCACATATTGGGAAATTGCAAGACCCAGTAAAGCAGTAAATTAGTAAGCCTATATCTGGCAAGAAGTGCAATGTGTTTTTATTATTCATATCTACAAATTAATCCATAAACAAATGTATATTAATATACTTACATTCTTTATAAATGGGTGGTTTTTAATTAGGTTGTTATTCATTTAAAGATGGTTTATGATAAATGAATACAAATTGTTCAAATTGTGTACTTATTTGGTGCTTGCAGAATAGTGAGAAGTTTCAACCAGTTTAAACTACCCCTTTACAAATCCTTTGATGTTTTTTGTTTAATTTTATTTCCACCAAAATATCCAGAGGTTTATAGAGGGAATAAAGAAGTCAAGACTGAATAGAAAGATCCGGCAAGTATTTATACATTTTGTGTATCCATGTTATAATGGTTACGGTGCATCTGTTGTGCTACAGTAGTTCACTTGCCCTGTATGGACGATCAGTTCTTCAAAGAGGGCGCCTTTTCTCTTCGGAATCGCAACTTCATGACGTTTTGGCCAATCATGTGATTACACTCTTGTCTTTCCCAGGGTTCAGTGAGAGCTGTTTGCCCCACCCCATCTCTTTAACGCTATCTATCTCAATGTAAAATTCTCAGAGAAAAGGAAAAAAATACACATAAATACTTCAAAGAAACTATTCTATTCGCATTTATTCAAGAGCAGATCTGGCCTTTACATGAAAAAATAACTGTCATCGTTGGATTAATTATTATATAGGCCTACCGCGGTATGTTCATATATCGATATGCACATGTATATCCAGTCTTAGGCTACCATACGAATTCAAAAGGAATACAAATCTTAGACTGACAGCGGGCTCAACCCGCGAGAAAAACAAGAAAATAACGGATGATTTTCATAAATATACCTGAATCGGGGAAAATGCATTGCATACAACAAAACCTACTGAAGTCATTGTTCGCCCAGAAAAGCTTACCGATGTGAGGAGAAATACAAATTACAGTGGTAAAGAAAAAGACGGAGAGAAGGGCCTTTTTGATCTGGACAAACCCCAAAAGCAACCAACATCTGTGACGAGGAGGGGAAATAAATTTATATAATTGACTAAAACAGGAGATATTTGACAAGGTTACAACAAAAACCTTTTGTCTTGGATTTAAAAGACATTCGGATGAAGAAGGAAACCCTGCATAATGATCCACATGCCTTCATTTTAGTGGAAATATTTCTATTTTTTAATCCACCCTCTATCTGCTTTGCCTGTCACGCTGGGGCTGAGGACGGATTGCAAAAGAAAAGGGGAAATGCGCTTAGATGGAACAGCAAATGTTTTGAATGGCAGTAGTCAGAATTCTACGAGTGAAACCGATGATGGATTCTAGAGGAGACGTTTGCTAGAATTCAGTGTGGATTTCAGCTCCACGGCAACACGTCTTGGGAATCCCGACTCGAGATCATTTATGTACATTGTAACGCTGAAGTATAATATTCAACATTGAAATGAATCTTGATGACTATATTGCGGATTTACAGTGAAAACATTATAGGAATCAACTGTCTGAGAGGGCGGCCTGGGTGTCGTGATTAGCACCAGCGCTCTGTTCTCACTGAATGATCTATTGTAGCCTACAGATAATTAATTATAATAACTGTGACATAGGCTACGGTCTGGGGAAGTCTTGATCTTCCACAGGTTACAGTGGTTTTAGTCTGCAACTGGCAATATAAATGTCACCCATCTTGAGCAAGGTGTCTTTCTCTTGGCCCAATCTAGCAATCTAGAATTATTTGTTATATTAATCCCCCCTCCCCCGAACCTTTTTATTGGGAAGATGGGTTGTCTGGGCAATAGTAAGACCGAAGACCAACGTAATGAGGAGAAGGCACAGAGGGAAGCAAACAAAAAGATAGAGAAACAGCTTCAAAAAGACAAACAGATATACCGAGCTACTCACCGGCTACTACTATTAGGTAGGTTTCTGACATTGATAAAGTGTTTCATGCCATGTTTAATGTGGGTATCCCAGCCATATACTTATTGTGGCATTTGAGGTTGACAAGGGTCTGACATTGTAAATGACGTATTTTTGTATGTAGGCCAATGTTCTTCCTAGGCAGTCCATTAAACCAAGACTCTTCCATTTGTTTTATTGCAATGGGTTTTTACGTTTGGTTGTGCTGTCATTTTCGATAGGAGTTTGTTCTTGTAAGAGGCATACACTGGCAACACCTGTCATTTGAAGCACGCTGCACAGCTGTCCATGAAAAGCCACCAGAAGGATTTGCACCACTTTTTTTGCAACATTGTTTCTTTGTCCAGAGCAACGTTGTTGCGTGGATGCCACCCGACTAGGGGAATGATTAGTTGTGGTGTAGACCTAGCTATGTGTGTCTATATGCCTGATTTAGGAAGAGTAACCTACAAATCATAGTCCTCAGGATTGTGCCGTTTTCATCCTCATAGACTTTTTCCTTGGAGTGCTTTTAATCATAATCGTTGCTAATACCAGGACTGATTTATTTAACAGTAGGCCTAGGGTAATCAAGTTGCTCCTAGTCCTATGTAATAACATTGTAATTACTCAAGTAACACCATTGTATTTGCAGAGTGTTTCATTGTAAATTCTTTATAATTGTATAGTAATGGAGTTGTTCCAATTACACAGGGCCGGCTCTAGCATTTAGGGGGCCCAAAGCAAGATTTGGTTTGGGGCCCCCCACCTCGTGGAAAAACATTTTAGTGGCCCCCCTCTTGACGGTGGCGAGAAAAAGTGTAGTTTTAAAGTTAATTTCCTGCAATTCTATACATTTTGCCATGGGGCATAGAGAACATTTTGCAGTTTTAAAGGCCCAGTGCATTCAAAAATGTGTTTTTCCATGGTTTTATATATATTTCCACACTATGAGGTTGGAATAATACTGTGACATTGTGAACATGATGATGATGGCCCTTTTAATGTAAGAGCTGTTTGAAAAGACTGCCTGAAATTTCAGCATGTTTTTGGTGTGATGGAGCTTTGGCCTTCCATGGTGACATCACCATGGGGTAAATAAGAAATATTAGTAAGAGAGTTCCAAACCTCTCTGCCAATAACAGCTCATGTTCTGTTTTCCCCTCCCCACTCAGACCACTCCCAGACAGTCCTAGCAAAATTGCTTGAGAAATTGCTCTTTGCTAAGAAGCTATTTTTGTTTATTTTTGACCATTTTAAATTAAAACAATCACAGTAAGGTACTTAATTGTTACACAGAAATTATTTGATATTGAGATAAAAACGGCTGTATTGGAAGCAAGTTTTCTGCAATTCTACACATTTTGCCATGGGGTGGAGAGAGATTGTAGCAGTTTTAAAGCTAATTTCCTGCAATTCTACACATTTTCACTTAATATGATATCTGACTGAGAATGACTAACAAAATCAATGGTGGCCCCCGGAGTTCAGGACCTCTGAGCACATGCCATGAGTGCCCGGAACGGTATTCGGCCATGATTACTACAAGTTTGGATAGCTGGCTAGACTAACTACTGAGCTTTTCCTTTAATTGGCTTGATTTGGTAGGCTCATATTTGGAGCAATTTAATCTTAATTGGCATACAAACAACATGCAACCATGTTCTAAGTTTTGACCTTACAGTATTAGGCCTAATAACAATGCAGACATTGATTCCTGTCTGAAGTGACAATGACTAGGGTCCCTATTAACTCTGCCAAAAACAACGTTCTTCATGCACTAAAAGAATGCACAATGTTTGGATACATGAATTCAACAAAACCATGTTCACCGTACAAAACAAAAATACATTTCAAAGCTGCATATTTATTCAAATACACTATTTTTTGCTGCACAGTGAAAATGTGTTTGACCGGATCCCGGAAACCTGGTTACCATTTTGGATTTTATAGGGGCCTAGGTATTTATGACAAGTCTACCTAGTCAACTCGCTACATTATTGGTGTGTTTTTCCCTTGGAGAGAAGTAAAAAAAAAAGAAGTCACTCAGGCCCAAGTTAGGATGTGGTCTGTTTGCCTTTCATTTTCATTCTGCAAGTAGCATATTGTTAGCACGAAGGAGCAGCGTTTGTTCTCTCTGTTCCTCAATGGGTGGAGAATGACTTTTCCGAATATCCCAGAATGTTCACAGCATTCCATGTCCCGTGGTTAGTGGACAGTCATCACTAGGGGTTAGGATTTCTTCCTGACCATGTTATCTGACCAGGAAACACACTGGGCCCTAGTTGTAGTAGGTTATAACTTGGTTGAACACTGAAGTAATGTGTGATTTACATGCCTAGAATTTAGCTCAAGGGAATTGATATCGCCCTAAAGAGACCACTGTCTTTTTAAAAAGTCTTTAGACCTTTATCTTCCTCCTCTCTCTGTGTACAGGTGCTGGTGAATCTGGGAAGAGCACGATAGTCAAACAGATGCGAATATTGCATGTGAATGGCTTCAATGCAGAGTAAGTATTATTTCCGCTAATATCATAAATCTTTGCAGAACCGTGTCAAGAACTAATTGGCTAGGGCCGGGACGATACCAGTATCGCAATATTTTTTTCCATGGCAAAAATGAAAAAACCGCAGCAGGTCAAAGTCTTTGGTCCTTTTAAAAACCTGCTGTATGTAAGATATTGTGTGCTTTGAATTGGAAAATAAATAAATGTGACTCTGGATGACAAAATGATGATGTTTTCTTAAAGAAGATAAATCCGCTTCGTGTTTTGTTTACTTGCCACGAGACTAATGAGTATCGCGATACTGGTATCGTTGTGGCCCTACTGAAGGCCATAGAGTTCTTACTCCTTTTATATTACACAGACTCTAAACTGGTAACCGAGGTCCTAGGATTCTCTCAGGCTGATTATTTGTTTAGATTATACATCTTTATAAACTGGGTGGTTCAAACCCTGAATGCTGATTGGCTGACAGCCGTGGTATATCACACCGTATTCCACACGTATGACAAAACTTTTATTTTTACTGCTCTAATTACGTTGGTAACCAGTTTATAAAGCATTAAGGCACCTTGGGGGTTTGTGTTATATGTCCAATATACCACGGCTAAGGGCTGTGTCCAGGGAGTCCGCGACGCGTCCTGCCTAAGAACAGCCCATAGCCGTGGTATATTGACCAAATACCACACCCCCTCGTGCCTTATTGCTTAAATAGATACTGTAGTATATGGCTTGAATGGCAATCTCACACTGGCATTCACCCCAATCAGGTTGAATAGACAAGAGTGTTCACACTTCGTTTTAACCTGGGAGAGGCATTTTCAATCCGGGTCGACCAGGTTCAGGACCACAGTCAAAACGTACAAATGCCTTTTCATAAATATTGGGGTTCAGCTTGTCTAGGGGTGAGAGCTTACCTGCCATGTTCCCGTGTGGCTCAGTTGGTAGAGCATGGCACTTGCAACGCCAGGGTTGTGGGTTCGATTCCCATGGTGGACCAGTACCAATTAAAATGTATGCACTCACTACTGTAAGTCTCTCTGGATAAGAGCGTCTGTTAAATGACGTAAATGTAGCAGCAGATACAGGTTGTTACCTTGACAACAGAATTACACATACTGATATCATCTGTGAGATCTCCTGAAGTAAGAGGTATTGTAAGTGTTGTTGTCAAATGATATGCATATATGTGTATTCTAGCAAACAAAAAATAAAAAATTGTCCAGGTGGCAAGGAACAGTAAAGTGATGGCGAACTTTGGCTAAATTGGCTAATGCATATTCACCTGTTTCTGGCAATGCAGCAATATTTACAATGATCTTGAGTGTGCAATTCCGTCCCACCCCAGAGAGTAAATTCATGTTTTTCGCCAGAGACTAGGTGTTTGTTATCCCTATAGGTGAAACTGCTTGAGTTAATTGATAATATTTATAAAGTGTATTGCGCTAAGAATTGCCTATTTTATAAACTGTTTTTAAACAACAAGTGGTTTGTGAGATGGCTCCAATTATTCAACAGGTCCTTGAAATTGTTTTTGAATAGTTTGAAATCACATGCATAGCCTACTGCGTTCAGGCTAGTGGGTCTTCTTCTAGCCCTGCTCATCGAGAGAAAATGCTGACGTTTTTGGTTTCACTAACTTATTTTCATAGCCAGTATAGTATACCAAATAGTATGGCAACAGCAATACTGTAGGACCGCTCATGAAAAACAGTATTTTGCCTTAAGCTTTTGTTTCCCCGACGATGTGAGTTCACGCAGGTTCCATTTCTGTGGATTGTCAGGTTACTTACAGTGGCTGTATTGTTCATATTACGGGTCATGTATTTAATCATTCTGATCATTCCAGAACTATAATGGCCCAGTCAAAAGGCATTGGCTTCCACATATGGCACAGTTGACAGGTCTTAATAAGATCAGATCAACTTTATTGTCCCAGAGGGGGAATCTTTCTTGGACATTCAAGCGCCACTGCTCCCACATGACCTACACAACATATAGTACAGATCACCTAATAGAAATAGTACAATTTAAATACATGGTAGGTCAAAATTACACACACACACACACATTTGTGCACACACACACATCAGTCAGTCAGTCCATAGCAGGAACCTTATACAGATTATATTGATGGTCAATTCAGGACAGATGTTGTCCGTTTTGCGTTCCACAGCTAGACACCCTGGTGTAGCCTATTGGTAAATATATGGAGGGAGGGGATCTCTATCGTTCTTGCTTCAGTTCAGGTTTGTTGCCTCAGCCTGCCCCTCAGACTAGAATGTTGTACCTACCTACTGGAAGGGGGACAGGCAGTGCCAGTCAGTACTAGGTGCTGGAGAACAGGATGAGGAGGACAGAAGGCGATGGGAGGTGGGGAGTGACAGAATGATAGGGAGAGGGGATAAGAAGGGAGGAGCAGATAGAGGAGAAGAGTGGAATGGCGGAGGTGAGAAGAGATGGCAGTTTCTTTTAAACAGGGTGTTTTCGGGGTCTTAGTGTGAGGAATGTAGTGGAGCGTCCTCTCAGTCGTACAGTGCACTGCTTTTACTCTGTCACTGAAACTCCTACATTCTGACAGCCCAGCTACACAGACTGATGAAATGCATGAAGTATGCACTATCTATCTATCCAAATTAAATTGTCTCTCCATCGTCCATCAATGCATGTGCCTCATAGAAAAACCACTGCCAACATTTTTTATGGATATGAAATATCTTTGTGGTCCTTATTTAAGGTTTGCAGACTTCGTCGATGAGTAAAGATTGCCAATCTGCCATTCTACTTTTCCATGTCAAGCGTTGCTACACCTTTATGTTGATTTTGATGCCATTAAGGTGGTATGCTGTTATACACTGACTTCCTCATCATCGTGATTCTAAATATCTATTTTCATGCTTCACAGGGAGAAAAAACAGAAAATTCAAGACATTAAAAACAACATAAAAGAAGCTATAGAGGTCAGTAATTGGTGCTGTTTACTGCTGATTTCTCCCTATTGGTTACATTGTTTACATGAGCAATCAGTACTAGTAGTCCAATAGAGGAAATCTTTAATACATTTCAAGATGTACAAAAACATACATTTTTGTCAGTAGATTTTGTAAATCAAGGTTTTTCTCTTTTTCCTCCATTCCAGACTATAGTGACAGCCATGAGTACACTCACACCCCCAGTCCGGTTAGCCAACCCAGCACACCAGTTCCGAATCGAATACATCCTAAACCTAGTCAATTTTGAATTTACATCGGTAAGTATTTTTCTATCTAATTAATTAATTACACATTATCTCTGTCATGTTGGCATGTTTGAGGGTTTTTCTCTGAAGGTGCACGTCAGGTAGCCACCCTCTGGGCACTACAGTTGTAATGGAGGTGGTTGGATAAACCACGCTCATCTGATGACTGACCTTGCCTGTGACCTGAACATTTGTGCCTAGGCTTTAGCTCAGTGGGCTAACACAGTCTGGTTCGAACCCTAATTGGATACTACGATCTCATTCTGAATTCGTGCCCCAAATAATTATCTCCATCTCAAAGTTTTCAACTGTTGAAACTATGAACATTAGTCAAACTGGCTGCTAACGTGATATAGGTCTATGTGTTTGAATTGAAGGTAGGAAGGAATAGGACCAGTCAGTGAATAGAGGAATAGGACCAGTCAGTGAATAGGACCAGTCAGTGAATAGAGGAATAGGACCAGTCAGTGAATAGAGGAATAGGACCAGTCAGTGAATGGAGGAATAGGACCAATCAGTGAATAGGACCAGTCAGTGAATAGAGGAATAGGACCAGTCATTGAATGGAGGAATAGGACCAGTCAGTGAATAGAGGAATAGGACCAGTCAGTGAATGGAGGAATAGGACCAGTCAGTGAATAGAGGAATAGGACCAGTCAGTGAATAGAGGAATAGGACCAGTCAGTGAATAGAGGAATAGGACCAGTCAGTGAATAGAGGAATAGGACCAGTCAGTGAATAGAGGAATAGGACCAGTCAGTGAATAGAGGAATAGGACCAGTCAGTGAATAGAGGAATAGGACCAGTCAGTGAATAGAGGAATAGGACCAGTCAGTGAATGGAGGAATAGGACCAGTCAGTGAATGGAGGAATAGGACCAGTCAGTGAATAGAGGAATAGGACCAGTCAGTGAATGGAGGAATGGGACCAGTCAGTGAATGGAGGAATAGGACTAGTCAGTGAATAGAGGAATAGGACCAGTCAGTGAATAGAGGAATAGGACCAGTTAGTGAATAGAGGAATAGGACCAGTCAGTGAATAGAGGAATAGGACCAGTCAGTGAATAGAGGAATAGGACCAGTCAGTGAATAGAGGAATAGGACCAGTCAGTGAATAGAGGAATAGGACCAGTCAGTGAATGGAGGAATAGGACCAGTCAGTGAATAGAGGAATAGGACCAGTCAGTGAATAGGACCAGTCAGTGAATATAGGAATAGGACCAGTCAGTGAATGGAGGAATAGAGCCAGTCAGTGAATAGAGGAATAGGACCAGTCAGTGAATAGAGGAATAGGACCAGTCAGTGAATGGGGGAATAGGACCAGTCAGTGAATAGAGGAATAGGACCAGTCAGTGAATAGAGAAATAGGACCAGTCAGTGAATAGGACCAGTCAGTGAATAGAGGAATAGGACCAGTCAGTGAATAGAGGAATAGGACCAGTCAGTGAATAGAGGAATAGGACCAGTCAGTGAATGGAGGAATAGGACCAGTCAGTGAATAGAGGAATAGGACCAGTCAGTGAATGGAGGAATAGGACCAGTCAGTGAATAGAGGAATAGGACCAGTCAGTGAATAGAGGAATAGGACCAGTCAGTGAATAGAGGAATAGGACCAGTCAGTGAATAGAGGAATAGGACCAGTCAGTGAATAGAGGAATAGGACCAGTCAGTGAATGCAGGAATAGGCCAATAAGTTCCTAGAGGTACATCACATTTACATTTTAGTCATTTAGCAGACGCTCTTATCCAGAGCGACTTACAGTTAGTGAATGA